TTTTGCAAATATTTTTTCCAAATTTTAAAAGGGACTCACTTGAGTTGGGTGCGAACATGGTTCAGACTGACAGCCAGGTATGGCAAGGGTCCTTGGAAGGGAGAGTATTGGGGGGCATTTGCTTGGCTAGTTGTGCGGCTACGGGCGATCACAACACTGACTTGAATGGCGGCTGGGTGGATGCTACTGTGCTTCTCCTGAGCTCCACTGATCTGTCAGGCCTGAGGATGATTTGTTCGCAGTGGCTCAAGTGGGAACACTCCCGCAAACCCTCTTGGCCTCATTTATATTCTGGTGAAACTTATTTAGTTTCATCATTTCGTTGGTAGGACCTTCCTACTCCAGTTGAAGGTGACAACTGGTTAATCTAAATTTCTTCGCGTGATTTTTTATATTTTTTTTTGTTTCACCATAGATGATATACCTGCTTGCCTTCTGCCATGGATTCAGGGTGGTTGGTGGTTGTCTCGAACAATCTGGAGGCGAGTGGACATAGACGTTCTCACCGGCGCTGTAACCAACATCTCACAGCGAAGAGGATTTCTTGGCTGGATTGTTCGGGAGAGCTCCAATCACGCTGTTTCCTTGCTTGGGGACGATCAGGTGTCTCAATCTAATACCTCTCACTCATCAAGTCTGTCATGAGTACAGAGAGTAGAAAGTTTCAATTTAGGATAATTTGATAAATTATCATTTCCGTTTATTTCAACAGAAAAAATTCGAAAGCGTTGCTTTGAATTTTTTTGCGGAGGAAGGGGGATATGTAACGATACAATCGTTACATTTATAATTAATATCCATTAATGATCATTGTCGTCCCTCTATGTATAATTATTAGAACTTCAACTCACAGAACCGCAGGAACAGATCAACCGCACATTGATCAATTAGTGATCTGTATCATCATAAGTTCCGTTCAGGATAAAAAAGTTAGAGGGCGACAGAATCGAATTGAAAACGACAAGACGTTCATGATTTGCATGAGCGCTTCCCTTTTCTGAATTTGGCAGCGAAATCAACAGGTTGATTTTCCATTTTGGGATAAATCCCAACTATCTTTATGTTGAATTTCTTACCTTTCTCCGCAAAAATATCAGAGTGGTTTCGTGTTTAATTGAAGATATTAGACAGGTACGTAGTATGATTCCAATTTAATTGCTTTAATTGTTATTGTGCACGCAAATTTTTGACTGCGAAATTTAGCAGCATGGCGGCTTGAGTGAATGTTCACAAATTTTTCAAAGGTTCAATCTTCGATTATCGTTGTAATCATTTTGAATTTTCGATTAATGTTAATTTCCTAGGAGGAAGCATTGCTCGAATATCCAGTGGCGTAGCAGATTGATGTGTTCATCGTTTTTTTTGATTACTACAAATGTTGATCTTCAAGAATTGACTGCGTTTTCGTTTTCACAGCACTTGGTCTTCAAACCCTGTACAAATCCAAGGAATTTACAAATTAATTGTACAGCCAGGAAGTCAGAGTTGATATACTTACACATTTAGTAAGAATTTTACTGGAAACCAGTCTAATCAATTGGTGGCCTGGAAATCATCCATGGAATCAGTTCAGGTGAGTACCGAAAACACATGTTATTTTCTATATGAATAAATTTGAATGTGTGCCTTTCAACTCACCTGCTCTGTTTTCAAGATCACCAGGTTTCCAATAAAAGAAAGATCAAAATTTGCTATATTTTCCTGTATAGAAATATCTATCTCAAAATTGTCTATCTGAGATAAATATATATCTTATCTAAATTTATCTCAACTTATCTTTTGTGATCAATCATAGTATTGATCATGTGTCCACATTAAGGACATATTCATTTTCATTATCTTATTGTATCTTTTGCTACTGTGCCATTAAAAATATTCAAGCTTTTTAGTGAATTATATCTTTTATACATTTTGGGAGATTTTGTGAAGACTCATTTGACCAGTTAGTAGTCAAAATCACATCTAGGAATCATATTACATACACTGGGTGATATCTTTTACTTGAAGCCACTGTCAGATCTATTATTTGAGATCATAAGTTGATCTGTTATCTTAGAAATTCATTGAATAATCTTTTATCTGGAAATTCATTGAGTAACTTCTTGTAGCAACCAGATGAATCTTTTCTCTTGAAATATATTTACTTTACTCCAAATATTGGAAATTTAAATATTTGATATCGACTTTATACCTGTTGATTTCAGAATCAATTTCAGATTCTAATTTTCTCTATACTAATTTTTGATTATCCTTTCATGAAATTCAGGAATGAATGACTACCTCACTCAACACGTGTTGATTAAGAATTGTTACATCACCTAGATATAAGACCATCAATTTCAGTTAATCAATTCATATAGGTTCAATTTAAAATTAGAGCTGATTAAAAATTGTTAATCCAAACATTTATTGGGTCACTCATTTAATTTTGGCTTGCATGCTAAAGAGTGATTTTCAGTATCTTGAAAATAATCAGCCTCTATTATCTTTAACATTTCTTTCTTCAACATTGTTTTTTTTTACATCAGCATATCATCATATAGGTCTGTCAAAGGATAAAGCCAAGTTGTAATTCTATAACAACAAAAGTTTATCAGAAATCTAATATTCTTGATTGTTTTTCATGCTATTAATGACAACTACGACGATCCTGAAACATCCACGTTCCTGAGTTGAGGTCGAACATTTGAAGTCTGGTTGGTGTATGTCAAGCTGACTACATAAAATACCTAAGGAGTCACGATAGATCCAGGTTCCTAGTTTTAGGAAAACTCCAGCAACCAAGGTATTCTCCAAACATAACACCAACAGATTCAGCAGCGACACTATAGAGTTGTTTCTTTTGTTATAGCAGAAAACATGCTAGAATTTGATTTCAAGTTATAATTGTTATCTTGGCTTATCATTTATACTTGACAACATTCATTCATCACATATGAGAACACTCATACACCTTGTATAAATTAATCATTCATCAAACTATGTATATTGCTCATATAATTTAGTAAATTGTATATATATTGAGTAATAGTTTTATTGTTCCATTGTAGAAAGGAAATTTATCTTTTTTTTTTATTCATAGGAACTTTGAATTTTTATCCTATTCAATAAACAAAAAATTCTGGCGTCCAGTCACTAAGTAATTTCAAAACCCCTTGCTTGACACAATAAAACAAATCAGAAACTGACAAGGCAGTCCAAAGAACCACAACCCTATTCCACTGAAATAGCCTGGGCAATCAAAAACGACACTTTGTCGTTACAATACAAAGACTAGATTGTTTCGTAATGAATGAAGTCATTGAATATTCGAATTTATAATATTACAAATTTATTTATATTCATCAATTGGATGTTAATTTCAATTCTCAATGTTTATGTTATTTGTTGTTATTCTTGTCAAAACAACTTGGGTTTGTTCATTTGTGTTAATTAAAAGCTATTTGACATCATTTCATCTATCTCCAGCTCATTCAGTCCATTACTCTGTTTCCATTCAAAATAAAATGAATTAATTCATTTGTCACAAAATAACAGGCCTATTGATGTTAATGTTTTCAACTTGTATTTATATTATGTTCTCACAATTTGTTATGATTTTGATCATATTTTATTATCAAATATATCTATATAACAATTTTTATTTTTCATTTCATATATTGGTTTTTATCTATGTACTTTATGTGCCTCTTGATGAGGAGGTATATTCTAGGATATCCACCTACTGCCTATCTTAACGAGATATGAAACTTTAAATGAAAAAAAAAGAGAATACCTACAGTTTGTTTACCTCAAGGAGTTACCACCCCTGTAAAATCGTTATTATCTGATCGATTTGGAAACACTTTTTTTGTTGATAGTCGTATTCAAAATGTCAATTCAAGGGAGTTATTTCATTCTTGGACTCTTATCGTGGGCAACTATGACCAATTTTATGTACCTACCCATATTAAATAAATATAGCTCACTACTTATTATTTTTATTTTATTTTCCTCAGACACATTGTATATTTGAATGACGAAAATCGATACAGATATGTTTGAAATAATTCTCAATAGTGATTTGTCACCAGTTATTCCTAAAAATATCTCAGTACTACATTTTCTGATCACGTTTTAAAAAAACAATGATAGGTACTTGATTCGTTTTTTCGGACATCGTGTGATTTAGGATGAAGAAAATCGACACAGGTAGGTGAGTCTGATTCAGAATCAATAATTAGTTTTTCTAAGAAAAAAATTCTTTGTAGTACTTTTCCAAATATGGGTTAATGAAATTGGTCGCAGTTGCCCATGATAAGAGTCCATGAATGAATAAATCACTCTCTTGTTGAATGGACATTCCGAATACCTATCCAACAAAATAAAATTCGGAATCGATTAGATAATAACGATTTTACAGGAGTGGTAAGTCCTTAAGGTGGTCACACTGTATATATTCTCATTCATATTTTGAATCAATTGCGAAAAAAAAGTAATATTGTTCAGTGAATTCAATAAAAAATTATTTCTTTTTACCACGCCGAATCTTAAATAAATCTGCTGAATAGCTAATATGAAAATCGTCTGAAATTAGAAAATGCATCATCATTCATCATAAGAATTTGTTGATTTTAGCTTGTCTCAATCTACAAAAATGCGCCACGAGAAGTGACGGTTCAAGTCCCTATATGAATCACTATTCTATGCTATGTAACTCATTGACAAATAACATTCATATTTAGAACCTACAGCGCAGCACGCCACTGGTAGTCGTGGCCATAGCGACAACAATAAAGCAGTGTTGCCAATAAGGTGGCATAATACCTGTGTGATAAAGAGGTTCGATCGGTAGTCTCTGTCATACTTATAGGGATCGTCATGTAATCATTGGGGCAAAACAAACTTAGTTTTATGAATGAGATGTTGCGTCTCCCTGGGATAATAGGTCTATGGAACGTGATAACTTCGACACGGAACTTTTAATCGATGAAGTTGAAAAAAGAGTACCCATATGATATATGGAATCATCAGACTATTTCAATAGAGGCATAAAACTTAGGAACTGGGAAGAAATTGTCGAGATTTTTCGTGAAGCTGGCGATTCCGAAGAAAAGAAAAAAGCTTTGGGTAAGTAAATAATACTTTATTGAATAATATTATTCCAGACTACATTATAGGTACTGTATAAATTGTACGACCTAGTACTTAGCGTAGACTTATCGATATACAGTGTGTTAATAATAATAATCATAGTGTTTTATTGACACAAAAACAATAGTTGATAAGTAAATAGGTATGTACATAGCTTTCGTTAGACACTGTAAATAGTATACCTATCCTACTTAAACTACCCTTTCATTGATGTTTATGTTCATTTATATACCAATTATGTGCCGTGTGGTCGAATGCGGGCTATTACAACTACAACACCAGTGAGTAGGTGCCTGATATACAAGTAGGTACTTAATTAGTCGGTTGTAAAATAAATATGGCAACTATATCATTTTATCTTGCCAAGGGAGTTTGCCTTCTTCAGCAAAATAATTGGCGAATCTGTCTCTTGTATTCAGTGATCTCGCATAAGGCCTCACATCCTGAGTGTTCATATGAATGAGAGATGTTTCGTAGAGAGTGTGGTCGAACCTATAGCCATCCATTAACCTAACATAATTATGAAGAACACAGCAAGCTTTAATAATATTTTCGGCAAACTCTATGTCTACATTTAACGGTCTATGAAATATTCTCCATTTATTCACTAAGATGCCAAAGCAACATATCAATGTAACGCTCTGGATAAGCGATAGTTGAAAATTCTATTTTTGGTTGTTGAAGATTTACCGCAATAAGGGCGCATTATATGTTCAGACAGACTAAACGCCTCATCTACTATAATATGGGGTAAGGGAGTTTTATCTGTTTGCGATATTGGTTTTGGGTCTGGAATATCTGAAGTTTTCTCGACAAGTTTTTTATATAACGCAGAGTTTTTGAAAATTGTGGAGTCGTTACTTTTTCCATATGCGCCGATATCTACTGAAATAGAACAATAATTTGCGTCGCATACAGCCAATAAAATTGTTGAAAAATAATTCTTATAGTTATAAAAAAGAGACCCAGAATCATTAGGTTTTATAATACGGATATGCTTGCCATCAATGGCACCAATACAATTTGGAAAATTTGTGTATTTTTGAAATTGTTTAGAAATATCTTCCCATTCGACCTCCGTAGGTTCTCTCATTACTATATTTCTCAGTTTATGCCATTTGATGCAACAAGTTTTCTGTACTATTTCGATAACTGTAGACTTTCCCAATCTGTAGGCTTAATGCAGGTCCGCAAAATAACATCCTGTAGCCAAATATCAGAGAAGAAATACGTTTTGTTAATTTACTGTTTAGTAGCTTTTGCCAGGGGCTTTATTGAATTAGATAAAAGGTTGCTTATGTGCTCAAGTTTCATCCGAATCTGTTCAGCCATTTCTATATTTTCTGATTACAGGTATTCTATTGCAAAAGAAGTGGAAAGGGTTGCGTGATGGATTTGTAAGAGAAATTAAGAGGAAGAAAACCACTCCGTCAGGATCAGGAGCCTCCGGCAAAACCAAATATATTTATTTTGAACGTCTGAAGTTCCTCGAACGATCGATACACAATAAAACAACTGACAGCAATATCAATACCACGTCTGCTACAGCAGAGGAACAGGACTTTTCTGGCGATGAAGAAGATGTAGTCAGATGTAGTAGTTAGTCAGACAAAAAAGAGAAGAAACTAAATGCGGCCGACGAAGATTTTCTCGCCATCATAAAAACGAATTAAGCATCTAAACGCCAACCAGAAACATCAAACCAAATGGAATCTGATGATGACAAACTATTTTGTTTATCATAACACAAAGAGCTTCTCAAAGTACCTGAGGAAAACAGACTTCAAACAAAAATTGAATTAATGACAGTACTTCAATCTCAGCAAGCCAATTTTAGTCATAAAACTTCAACTGTTCGTCCTGTATAGCAAAGTGGAACAGGATATAACACAATAGATCCTTCAACATCTTCGTTTTCTCCCGCGACTTTTTTGGCCAATCGAGGCTATTCCACTTTGCGACGTAATACCCCTTCAACGGCTGCTTACAATAACCCACCAATCCCATCACCAGCTTCTTCACAAGATTCACAAGAATCAGAATTAATGGAACTATACAGTGACGTATTAAAGTTTAAAGATTTATGGTGTAATGGTTCCTAATTTTTTTTTTGGTTGAAATTCTTTAATTTTCTATGGTAAAAGTCCATGGTATCTCAAAGTGGAGTGAATAGATTCATAAACAAGACACACAAAGTCGTCTCCACAAATTTGTGGAGATGACTTTGTGTGTCTTGTTTATGATTCTTTAATTTTGTTCGATTCATTGTTAGTTTGAAAGTACAAATTTGATGAAGGACATTAATAATAAAAAATATTACCTCAAAGTAATCACTAGTTTTTCTTCTGCAGAGACAGTATCCCGTATCACATAATTTTGACATGGTGTCAAATCCTCTTGAATAATTTCTAGTAATTCATCGAACGATGATACTGACATCCGTCCCAGCGTAGACACGCGCATGAATCGCGATATCTGGACGCAATAAAAATTGGAACGCGCGAGTGCGCTAGATTGTTTTTGTCCTTTATTTTTGAAGAGACCCACTCCTAATTTTACGAATTATATTTGTTTTCACGGAAACAATGTTCACAATGAATGGATGCTACTGCATTATAAGAGTGCGCTTCTCATGTCCGGTTCAAGTGATAACATGTCCTTCAAAAACCAGCCATGATCTGTCGCTGGGGGTTAAGGGGTCGGCCACATGGCCACCGACTCCAGGAGAATAGCAGAGGAGGTCGGGCAAACCTCTCGAGGAAGCTATTCCCAAGACCGTCTGTGCGCGATCTAGAATCGCATCCTGCCCGAGGTGACCCTGCATAAACTGAACACAGCGGATCTAGACAAGGTAAGTCGAAACAATCCCCTAAGTCAAGGTGTGAGAATTCCGTGCCGAGGACTGGATGGTAGCAGGGAGTGCTATTAAGAACGGAGCCTTGGGGACACCTGGCGACCTCCCCAAGTAAAAGCCCTCCCCCTGCAAGGGGCGCTGCAGGGGACGAAGCCAATTCCCCATTACTCGTGGGATCTTTATGAAACCTGAAAAACTAAAAACAAAACCAGGGAGGACTGAGGTAACACCCCAGACCCCAAATGAGGGAACCGATTCGGGACCCTCTACGTTACCGGAGGGAACTCTCGGAGGACCCTCCAACCCACCCCAACCTTCCTCTGGAACCACTCAGGGATCAGAGGCCCCAGAGAGTAGCTCTTCGGAACTCTCATTTACCACCCCTCCCGAGGTCACCCCGGTGACCTCGGAAAACACCCCAACGATGGGGGATTCCTCCACGGAGCCCCCCGTCTTCCCTACAAACCCTCTCCCTACCCCCACCCCCAACCCCCCTCAGACCTCCCTAGAAGAAGCCGAGGAACGGCAACGGACCTCGGTAGATGAAACACTCCAGTGGAAAAGAGTCAAAAAGCCCAACGTCTGTGGGGCTGCGAGGAAGCGGAGGAAGATGGAGCAACAGCGAAGTCTTGTGGCTCCTCCAGGGGGAGCTCCTGATCCAGCAGAGACTGGCACATCTTCCGATGTTTCCAAGAGAGGATCCTCAACAGGAGCCTCTCAGAAGGATCGGACACCTGCCTCCAAAAGAGGCAGGACACCAGGGTCTACTCCAGTGGAGACCAGGCAGGAGTCCAAAAAACCAAGGGTCGGCAACCCCGGCCAGTGGAGGGCGGATTACGCACAGGTTGCCGCTGGAGATAAAGCTCTGCAGTTGATCATCACCCAGGAGGACCAGCCTGAAGAAGGCTTCGGCGAGGACCAACTGTTAGAGTTCCTAGATGCTGTGGGAGATGCGATTGCAGATATCCCAGCGGATACTGCACCTCCACAGTTTCAGTCTACACGACTGTGGCGAAGACAGCTGTTGGTAACTGCTACCAACGAGTTTTCGAAGGAGTGGCTCACCAGGGAGTTGAAGAACATCAAACCCTGGAAAGACGCCACTCTTATTGTCATGGACCCAACAAGGCTCAAGCTACGCCAGGCAATGTTGTGGATCCCTGGCAAAAGGTTTCTGCCTAACCAGGAAATCCTCCAGAGACTGAGGAAGCAGAATCCAACCCTCTCGGTATCTCCTTGGAGAATCTGGGAGAGGAAAGAGGAGAAGCAAGGACTTCGCCTCGTGGTGGGGATGGACGAAGAGTCTATCAGGCTTCTCAGCCTGATGAACTTCCAGCTCTACTACAGTGCGACACAGGCAACTGTGACCATCCTTGAAGGGCCTATGGCTCAACAAAGAGTGTCTAGGGGTACCGATCAAGGGACCTCCGGAACCCAGACCAGGCGAGTTGTGCCCGCTGCCTCGGCCCCCCAAACCGGAGGAACCTCACGAGGGATCTCTGAAACGGTGGCCGAGGAGGCGCGTACAAAAACGTTAGTCGTGGGTGAAAGAGGAACTGCTGAGGTCGGGGCTCCTAAACCTGAAACTGGAGGATCGTCAGACGACACCTCCAGGAGCGACATGGTAGGAGGAACTCCCTCGAGGACCTTCTACCGGTCAGAGTCGCCTATGAGCGATGAGGTCCAACCAATGGAACTCGGAGTGGTGACTGAGGAACCCGAAGGGGGACCTCAGTCAGACCAATAACAGGAGGCCGAGCTGACGAAGGCGGGCGATGGAGCCAAGCTGCATAGGAGCCACAACAAGTAAGTTCATTTATGTCTGTAAATGTCCTACAAATAAACTTACAACATGGAAAAGCCACAACGGCCCTAGCATGCCGAAGGATCCGAGAGTGGGACATAGATATCCTACTAATACATACTTGGACATACCAGGGCAAGATAAGAGGGCTGGGAATGGGCGGAGGAACGGCTCATTACTGTGCCTCTGTCGATACCAGCCCCCGGGCGTGTATTTATACAAAAGGCATGAAGGTCTTCCCTGTCCCAGGATTCTGTACCAGAGACCTGGTGGCGGTAGAGATCCTCATGCCGTTAAATGGTCGCACCCAGGAGGTAGTAGTCTGCTCAGCGTACTTTCCGTACGAGACAGCTGCTCCGCCTCGGGAGATCGAATCGTTAGTACGATATTGTGAGGAATCTGGGAAGGAGCTTCTCATCGGCCGTGACTCGAATGCCCACCATATCCTGTGGGGCAGCCGGGACACGAACCCGAGGGGAAGTGCTCTGCTCGAATTCCTCACCACCAGTAATCTGAAAATCATAAATGAGGGCTCAGTACCTACTTTTTTCACGTCTGTTATAGATCTTACTCTATGCACTCGAGATATGTTGACCCAGGTTCATTCATGGAAGGTGTCACAAGATGAATCTCTATCAGATCATCGACACATTCTGTCTACGCTGGGGGGTACAAGCGCTCCAGAAAAAGAAACATATAGGAACCCTCGTGCCACCAAGTGGGACCTCTTCCGGGAGGAACTCAAAGGAAGGCTTGTGGGTTTGCCATCAAAGTACGGGAGTGAGGCCGAAATAGATACAGTGGTGTCGTATCTTAATAAGGCCATCACGTCCAGCTGTCCACTTAAAGACAGGGCTACCAATGCCAGAACGCCATGGTGGAATTCAGAAATAGAAAACCACCGCAGGCCCACAAGAAAGCTTCTAAACAAAGCGAAACGTAGCAACGTACCGCAACACTGGGAAGAATATAAGTCTGCCCAGAGAGCGTACAAAAAAGCCATTCGGCAAGCACAAAGAGATAGTTGGCGTGCCTACTGCGGAGAAATAAACACAATTTCTTCAGCGGCAAGGATATGCAAAGTTCTCTCCAAAGAACCGGGAAGAGGAGTGGGCGTGCTGTCTCTGTCAGATGGTCGAGAAACCACAACGGCAGAGAAAACATTGCAGCACCTCATCTCCACACACTTTCCGGATTCAGAAATAGCCAACGAACCACCTTTGAGGACGAGCCCAGTGAGAAGAACTCACATGGACTATCAAACAGCGTCAAAGGTGGTTACATACGAGAAGGTGAGATGGGCTGTAAAGACATTCGCACCATTTAAATCACCAGGGGAAGATGGAATATTTCCGGCCCTCCTACAAGAGGGACTGGACACCATCATTTACCTGCTTATGAAGATATTTCGGTCCTGTCTGGCTCTGGGCCACATACCAGTGGAATGGAGATCGGTTAGGATCGTATTTATCCCGAAACCAGGGAAAACAGATTATTCCGATGCCAAAGCGTATAGACCCATCAGCCTCACGTCTTTCCTCATGAAAACACTGGAGAGGCTGATAGATCGATACATCAGAGATGTGCCACTGCAAATAAACCCGCTGCACGCACAACAATATGCCTATCAGACTGGGAAGTCCACAGATGCGGCTCTCCATCATCTTGTCCATAAGATAGATGGAGTGCTAGCTGGTGGACGCTCAGCCATGGGAGTCTTTCTAGACAAAGAAGGAGCATTTGACAATACGTCATTTGAATCGATATGCCACGCCGCGGATAGACATGGGGTCCACCAAACCTTGACCAGGTGCATTAGGGCCATGCTATCGCAGCGAGTGGTAAAAGCAGAACTATGTGGGAGGTCGGTTGCTGCCAAGGTATCAAGAGGATGTCCTCAAGGAGGGGTTTTATCACCACTACTATGGTGCCTGGTAGTAGACGAG